GTCGAGTCATGTGACCCTTGTAGAGAGATTTATCATGCTCCCAAGATCAAAAGCACGTACACACCACATATATGTGCTGCTTCTACACTGAAAGTACGCAAAAACATGCCTCTCATTTCCACCAAATAAATGCTCCATGCTCTAGAAATATGATCTCTCTAAAGTATGATGTAGCAAATAAGACATAAGGCTATGCAAAAAGTATTGAAAAAAATATATAGGCACACATGAAGGTCCCAAGTATTGAAAAAAAAGAGAGAGGACACATGAAGTTCCTAAGAGTTAAAAAAAGAAAAAAAAATGTGAGCACATGAAGTCTCATAGAAAAAAAATAAAGCATGATGATAGCCATGTCTTAAAATAAAAAGTTAGAGAAAAAGATCATATCAAACAAAGGAGTATTTTCCACTTGCCATGATCCACACACATGCACATTTTGATCTAACAGAATGACACTTCTCTCCTTGGATCCAGGATTTGATTTTAAAACATACACAAGGTAAGTGTGCTACCCTCTTTCATACCTTCTGAAGCTCCACATAAGCTTTTAGAAGTAGGATGGACAAAAGAAGGCAACATAAAGAAAAATGCCTTGGTGAGGAACCAAACACAAATTTCGAGCGATTTGAGAGAATCATTCGAGGAGCAAAGCTATATTTACATTTTCAAAATCAAATAAAAACCTGAGTTTCTGAGCAGATTGAAGTAAGGAGATTTTGATTCTATGCTGTTCCATTATTCAATTACCCAAGATATTTTGGTAGACACTCAAAAGTTCACAGGTTCAGGTGAAGTTTGGAATAACTTGTATGCAGCTTACATATCAAGGAGATAAACCATCTTAGTCCTTAAATCTTTACTCGAGGATGAGCAAAGGACTAAATGTAGGGGAGCATGTTGGTGGTCCTTAACTCATATTTGTAACCGCCAACTGCTACATAAAATCCACTCAAATGAGCACCGAACCTAGTAATAGGGTTTACAACTAACAATTTCCATGAGTTTTGGTGATTTACTCATTTGCAAAGGACAATTGTGAAAACACATCAAGATGAGCTCAAAACAAATCAAGAAATAGAAGAAAGCAACACCATACACTTGCATGGGCTCAAACACCAAAGGAGAAAGGCCAATAACTAACGAAATTGGACTCCACACATGCGGGGACGAGGCCCAGGTCCATCAAGCAGCCCTCCAGCCAAAGGCGGTCAGGGGATGGTGCTACCTAGGGGTGGCCGCACCTCCTGGCACTGCATCTCAAGCCTATCTCACGCATGGCGGTTCCATCAATACTTAGGGGGGCAATTTGTTGTGATTCTCCGAATATTCCTCCCCAAACCGACCTCCTAGCCACAACAAAAGGAGGAGGGAGCTTCCCTCACTCAACACACTACAGAAGAGAAGGGAAGAAGAGAAAAGCTACATTCCTAACTTAGCTTCTTAGCTAGAATTAGTATAGGGAGTGAGTGAGAAAGAGCAAGAGAAGTTCTGGAGTTGTCGGATCACTCGAGCTTGTACCTCGACGAACATCTTGCTATTTGGAGTAAAGAGTTCACGTTCTTCTTCGGTGGTGAGTTCTTAAGTAAGTTAGTCTTGTTTACTACATACTTGCGGGTTTGTCGTTCGTTCTAGTAATGAATACTCTAGTAGAGGACTCCTAATAGAGACGGAAGTTCTTGGTCAACGCTAGAGTAGTAACCAATAGCGTATACGTGGTGTCTAAGCTAGAAGTTACCTTCATTTGCCTCATTCCCCATAGATGAGGGGTAGGTGGCAGGTGGTGATAGCACTGTTCGTCCCTTGGAATCCCCCAAGTTTGGGTTTGGCGTAGAGCTACAGGCTGACATTGCTTGGCAGACCAGGTGATATCTGGTGCCCGAAGTAAGTTTATAGTTACCAAAGCTATCTTAACCTAGGATCTCTATCCTTAGAAAACCTCAGTACCCAAGCTACTCTCCATCTTGTTATCTTTGGTGAACTAGCTAAGAGACTTTTACACCTCCGTTCCTCATGAAAATATGATACCCTGAATACTTCCGGGTGAAGTGCTACAATGGCATATCCATGCGCTTGCGGATTCTTTTGCATACATTAAGAAATAACAACAAGAATCAAAACAACTCCCTACCTAAACAAAGGCATGTCGTAATAACAAAATACAGCAAATGCACCTTTCCTGCTTTGCTAGTGACTCTATGAACAAGGGAATGTAAGAAAGATAGTAAGGCATGTTCATATGGAGACGGCCTCTTAGTCTACGAAAGTAGATGACACGAGCATGGATGACATGAACCTTTCTGTGGTTCATGTCATATGCAATCAGTGTTCTATCCTCCCCAACAAAAAAAAATCAAATTCTATTCTGGGTGAGCTGTAATCACTTTGTAGTCCGCATCACAAAGCTCAGAACCAATGTCAATATTGTTCTATCCAAAAACAGCTCCTGCGTGCTCACAACATGCTTTAATCTCCATTTAGTAGTACCATAGTCTTCCAGTATCCACACTGAAAGCTAGACATACTGTGAAAATTAGCACAACACAAACACAAGTGACCCTAAGCTTGATGGATGGATATTTCAGCACCAAGTGGTTTAGGAATTGTCCTCCATGTCTTTCCCTCCATACCCACAGCAACTATCATAGTGTAGTCAAGCATGTGCATAAAACCATTAAGAAAAACACTTCTCGATTTTGAACGTAGTATAATACCCTCGCCCCATTCAGATTCCATAAAGATCCATGCTGCAGTTTAGATGCGTAGATCTCCACACCTATGCATGCACCCTCCTCCTGCACAAATTCAATCACATGGAAGTGCGAGGACATTGTTGGATAGAAATCCAAGCAAGCCTGACCAATAGAGCGGATGCTACGTGGAAGATAATTTCTCAGTCGCCAGATTGCAGACAACATAGCAACATAATCCATCAGGCCCAACACACCAGCAGAGGATTAGGCCGCTGTAGCAATCTGAGACTATGACTTTGTCAACGGGGAAGGGCAAGAAGGAAAAGAAGGGTCGTTCAACGGTGATGCTGGTGAAGTGGCGCTTGTCGTTCCACCAGCTTCCATCGAAGAAGCCAGGGAGGCGGCTAAGGATGTCGACAAGCACATCATCTATGAGGCTGCCCACTGCGTTCCTCTTGTTGGGGGCCTCCTTCCTCTGGAAGAGCTAGGACATGACCCACCAAAGAGATGAGGCTGCCCTGCGATGGAATTGCATCAATAAACAACATTACTAACGAGATGAGTTTCGATGAGAACGGATGGCAATGGAAGTAAGGGATTATTACACTTGCCTTTAGATCTGGTGGTGGTGACCACGAGTGGCAACGCCGGTGATAGCAGCAGCTCGGTCGCCTATGGATCTGTGCGGGCAAGCCGGTGATGTGCACCGGCGCAGAGCAAGAGTTGTCCCGCCGGTGAGTGGCAGCTTGCAAAGAGGTGAGTACGGCTTGTGTCGTCGCTGAGCAGTGGTGACCAGGAGCGGAGCTGAGGAACAGTAGCAATGAGGACGAGAAAAGGTATGTGTGTGGAGGGGAGGGAGGAGCAGTGGGTTGTGGATGGGCTGCGTAACTTTTACGAGCCGCGGGAATTCAAATTTCATCAGAACTTTGTAATTTCGCGCGGAAGGGCTCAAACGTGGGATTGGAAATTTTGCAACTACGCGGCGGTGAATGCATGGTACCATCACCGGTGGCGGGGTCTTATTACCACCTGGAGACCTCAGTATGATATGGTGATGAACAATAAGGCACACAGATTTAACGTTTACCATGTATACATTGAAACAAAGCCAAACTGCCCACTTAGAAAACTAAGGAAAGCACAATGCCAGTACTCGGAATACAAGGAATCAAACTTGAGTTCGATGATGAACATAAGCCACACAGATTTAGCCCCTTTGGAACACAGGATACGCAAAACACAGGTGTCGGTGTTTTAGAATATTTGGTTCTTGGAGAACCCCGCTTGGTGCAAAGGTCAATCACAGATGGAGACGAGATTTATACTGGTTTGGGCCCCCGGGAAGTGAGCAAAAGCCTTACGTCCAGTTGCTACTGTTTTGCATTCTGTATTCGGCGAGATCACAAGTACAATGTGGCTAAGCCTATGAGAGATTTGATGATCACAACAGGGGGTCTACCCAGCTATTTATATCCGGGATCAACTTGCCCTACAAGCTAAGAAATTGTTCCCTAATCGGAGTTTTGGTGCAATCCTGGGATTTCCTTCCTTGAATTGGGCATCATGGGCCATTGGATCTTCTTTGATCCGGACTCTATACTCGATAGGTCCCGTGGTCAGGGTACCTAGGTGTATGGCACCAGTAGGCCCGGAGCTTGTCTGCCAACTATACTCTGACACCTTCTTATGCTCGGGCATTCCCAAGTCTGGTGCTTCGACTCGAAACTCAGGAAAATTCCAAGTGTCCACCCTTGACCAGGAAAGCAGACGATTGGAAGTCAAAGAGTTGTACGGTTGGTAGATGAGCTTTGAGCCTTTTTTTAGTTCTAGGAAGATGGAATTTGGGGCTACTGTAGCACCTTCATTTTTATTTGGCAATTAGTGTTCAAACATGGACTAATTAGGCTCAAAACGTTCGTCTCGCAATTTCCCACCAAACTGTGCAATTAGTTTTTTTCGTCTATATTTAATGCTCCATGCACGAACCACAAATATTCGATGTGATAGGTACTGTAGCACTTGGAATTGAGATTTGGGTGGAACTAAACACGCGCTGAATAAACAATGCCATGTCCGGGTCATCTTGTCGTGTCAACGCGTTCTCCACGCAAGTCAGGCGACGCGCAGTCGTCAAACACTCGAGTGGCAGCGTCGGCTCAACTCCTGAGAATTGTGCGTGGCGCAGATTTATTTCAGTTTTTTAATCAAGGATGGTGATTAAGTTCTCCATGTGACCCGAACCCGGATCCTATTTAACCAGGGTCTTGGGGTACTTAGACTGCCAATCACCTCCCCTTCCCACTATGCAACATGTGGAAGAAGACCTCTGGCCACCATCGCTCGAAGATTCCGCACCTGCTTCTCAGCGACTCGCCCGGCCAGTCTGGCGGGTTGTTTCCTCCACCTCCCTCAGTGCCATCATCTCCATCTCTAGTGCTACTGCTAGTGACCCTGACATTACCAGCGCCGTCGTCGTCATCCGCACCTTCGGTGGTCCCGCCCTCGGTCCCGGTGCTTCCCTGTCATGGGGAGGCTGAGGTTGTTAATGTGGAACCAACCGAGGACCCAGTAGTGTCCGCAAGTGCTGATTCTGCTGTCAGTGAGTCACCCGTCAAGCCCCTAGACTTGCCGGAGTCCAGCACGTCGGCGGCGAAGTCTCGATCATACGTTTCACATAGCAAAACAAGAATTAAGTTTATTTCAACACCACCTTTTTATCAGCGATTAGTTTTGTTTCCCTCAATCAATCAGGTTAACAAATCTTTGCTCATTTAAACAGATGCACCAGAAATATTTGATCTCTGTTACTCCCTCCGTCCCGTTAAGATTGTCGCTCGGGAAGCGGGATTGTGAGGGGGGCACGGTTTTCCAACGACAAACTCAATGGGACGGAGGGAGTATTTCACAAAGCAATAATTGTTTTCCTTTTTTATTATTAACGAAAGGATTAAGCTTTACCTTGGAGATAACGATTGGAGCGAGAATCGAGGAACACGCCGCGGCTGCCGATAGTTTTTTTAGGGATTGTGCGGACCAGGCGGCCATTTAACCCCTCACACTGCTTCGGTGGCAACTACTGTGTCCATTCTCCCGCTTTGCATTCCAAATTCACTTTTCACCCCTTTCCTCATTTCCTCGCTTTCCTCCGTCGCCATGGCGTCCAACCCCCAACAGATCGGTGACTATGCGAGCGCTTCGAGCCAGGCAAGTGCTGAGGTCGAGAAATCTCATACATTGTAGCCATCGAAGGTCATGGATCCCGATAAATACTGGGTTCCGTTGACCACGACGAAGAAGAACCTGGAGAAGCTAAGGGAGCGGGGTATGTTGCCAGATCCATAGATCTATTAGTGGGTCGCCACCGAAGGTGAGGTCCATCCAACCCCTGATACACATCAAGTCGCTATTTTTATTGCGCATTTTCAATGTGTCTTCGGGGTGTATCCGTCGAAGTTCCTGAAGCGAGTTTGCAGGCACTACAGAATCGAGATTGCCCACCTGTTGTCTAACGCCATAGCCTTGCTTAGCGTTTTTGCTTTTCTATGTGAGGCCTAGCTCGGTGTTGAGCCATATCTCGACCTGTGGCACTATTTTTACTCGGTTGTGTACTATTCCAAGAATCTAGCGATCGGGTCAGTCGGCTTTTCCTTGAGAAAGGCCGATGAGTATATCCATTTCCCGATCAAGTCCTCCTAGAAGGGGTATGGGGCAAAATGGTTTTATATTTGTCTTCCTGGTGAGAACGTGATCAAGGGAAAAGGCCTCATGCCCGTCGTCAATGAGCTGTGGAAGGCAACTCCCACACTCACCGAAAAGATGAAGGCCACATTAAGCGTGTTCGGGAGCTTCAAGAAGCTGGACTATCGGCAACGCATGTGGTCGAGACTTTTGCCAAGTGGAGGGTGGTTCCTTTGAAGAATCGGGACCCTGCCTACTCTTACAAAGGAGTTCTTGACCCGAACAGAGAGTCGGTCGAAGGTAAGGACCTTTCTAGAACTTGCTCAAGCTCGGGCTTTTTATGTTAGTATCGAATGAACAATTTCTAACCCACTACATCATGACAGAAGTTTCGGATAAAGAGATCGCCCGTCGGGTCAAGGAGATCATTGACATCAGTCGTCCGGATTGGAGCGGCGTCCCTGAGCCGTACCATGCCGAGAACCCTCCTCCCCAGGTAAAGGTGCAATCTCCTTGCTTTTTCGACATATATGGGTAAAAATACTGATTTGTTATCAGGTGAAACTCTCCTCGGGAATTATTCCTGGGAGCTTGGAGATTGGTGATGACGAGGGGGATGAGAACCCCTAGCAGCTGGAACCGGGACAGGCCCAGGTCGACAACAAGCTAAACCGAGGCCCAGTTCCCTCCGAGATCACTCTAGCCCCCAAGCCTGACGTGGCTACGGGGGAAGAGAAGCCGTTGGGGGGCGCAACCCAGGGGCTGACAAAGTCCACCGAGAAACCAGCCTCCGAGCCTGCTCAGTTCGTGGGGAAGAGGAAAACCCGATCACAAGAAGATGCCGAGGAGGTTTCCCTGCCCCTTACGAAGAGGGGTCAGAGCAAATCCCGAAGCCCCCAGTCGGCAGATGAGGCTGGAGAGAATCAGCCGAGGGGGGCCGAGAGGGCCGAGACCGAAAACCCACTCCGCACTGGTGATCAGGTACCCATAGAAATTGTTTTTGGTCGGTTATTTAAGGTATTTGCTCGACTGGATAGCCTTGAATGTGTTTGGGAGGTCTGTACTCAAGAGAAGGTCTCAACTCCACCAGCTAGCAAACCGATAGGCCGAAGGGGGAAAAAGCTGAAATCCTTAGTCCACATTAACCCGTGAGTTGTTGCTTCACTATTTGACTTCCTTCTCTCCCCAAGTATCCTCTTGACGCATCTATTTCTACCACAGGGTAGCTAAAAGCCCCAAAATCCCAAGTGGGGTGATTGCTGGTGAGTCTGAATCTGGCCAGGTCCTTGAACCATAGAACCTGGCTCTTTCAACTGATGTCAAGGCCCAAGGAGCTGAGGCGATGCTACTAGAGAAAGACCCTTTCCGTATGGATGCCATAATCCATGAACTGCAAGTCTGTCAAAGCTTGTGGAAGGAAGCTAGTGACCAGGCCAAGCAGTCTGGTGTGGAAACATCTCGGCTGAGGGAAGAAGTAAACATTCTCCTGACGATTGTTGTAGGTAAATAGTTGTAACATTGTATAAATCTACTCACCGTTGTTCAAGCTTTACCTCCTGGTTTTCCCTTGTTTGAAGACCAACGCAGGTACACCGAGCTACTCAAGAGAGAGAAAGCGGCCTTGGAGCGCCAAGTCGATGATCTCCAGAAGACACTCACAGTTGCTGAACAGCGCCGAGAAGATGTAGGGGGAGAGTTGACCGAAGGAGCCATGACAGCTATTGGACATGCGATTGGCACCCTCAAGAGCCGCATCCCTGATCTCGATGTTAGCCTGATATTGCAAGGCTATAATTGTGGAAGCGAGGATGATGCTAAGAAGCTGCTTAGGGAAATCCAGCCGACTGTCAAAGCATTTGTTGACCAACTCTGTTTCTCAGTTGATGATGATGAAGATGAGTAAAAACTTTTACCCTTCCCTTGTTGGTCCTATAATGGCATGATTAAACATTTGTCCTGCTCTTTGGAACTAGATCCGTTATGAGTACTTGTATTTTGTTGGAGGCGATAACTTTGACTTGTCTATAATTATCCTTGTTGCGTGGCCCATTTCATTTTGCATGTGGGTCATAGGATTAGAGTAGCCGAGACCCGGGCGGTCTCTTGTACTGTGTGTCCTAGCAGTTGCATATGTTTGGCCTGGCATGATCGGGAAAATTTTGGACTGGTGAATGTTTGTATGATAGCCCCCGACTCTTTATTTTAACAGGTAAACTTGTTCAGATAAAGAGTATAGACATAGTAGATAAAATTTTATGATCCATAGAAGCCCCCGAGCATCGTACTCGGGTTTTATAATAATAGAAAGAGTACTCTACACAATTGGAACTGCATGCTAGGCGCGCATCGTGTGGGTCCCATCTTATGACAGTATCTCATGATTGATGAATAGTACTTTGATCAGTTGATGTCAAACACTCTGAAAAGCGTAATGGACCCTCTCGTGACAATATTTTTGAAAATATTTAACGAGTGCCTTGATCACTTGAGGTCAAGTACTTCATCAAGTACAATGGACCCTCTTATGGTGGCACTTCGACATTGCCGAGTACTTTCATCACTTGAGGTCGAGTACTCCATCAAGCACAATGGACCCTCGCATAATGGTACTTCGACGCTACCGAGTACTTTGATCACTTGAGGTCGAGTACTCCGTCAAGCACAATGGACCCTCGCATAATGGTACTTCGACGCACTTTGGACTCGCTTCGAGATTAAGTGCTTTGTTGAACACAATGGAATCTCTTACGATCAAGTGCTTTGGGAGATAGATCATAGAATGTAGTTTTAAAAATTGTTGTCTTCCCTCTTTGATATCGTTTTCCCTTTGTGTTCTGCACTTTGTTCATTTGACCATACCCCCCATGTGTAAAAATACTGACCATATGATGGCGAGAACCCGTATAGGCCTAGTGTAGGTTGTGGTTCACTGGCAAAGCTTTACACATAGACATATCATACAAGTATTTAAATCATAGAGAGAAAGCAGGTATGCACCAGGGTGTGGTTATGTGTGGTAATCCCCAATTTTATGCTAAGGTGTGGGCCCACTTAATGGGGAGCCAGAGCAAAAAAAATAACATAATAAAAATAGTTTTAGAAACAACTTAGCTGATCCGAGAATATCTTTGACACAGTTGTTGTCAAGGGGCGGCACGTCTGGCTCAGGATACTCTGTTGATGGTAAACCTCGATGAAGACAACCGCTCCAGGATGGTGGCTAAAGTCGATAAAGAAAAGGCCTTGGTAGAGGGGACCATTGGAGACTGCTTTGTCCCAACCGTCCTCGGGTTAGCTTTATTGTCCCGATGAGACACCGAACACCCGATGAGCTTACCCGAAGGGATATCAAAAAACGTCTTTATCAGGATTTTAGCACTACTCTGGTCTCACGCAAATTGACGCAAGCTTTTAGATGATCCATGTGTGTTTCAAAGTTGTGGCCAATCTGGCTTTTGAGAACAATAAGAGCACACTTTAACGTACACAACCGACTCATTCTAAGCCAAAAAAGGCATTTTAATAATACACACCAAAAGGAAGATACAAATTAAGACTTTTTCCTCATTGTTGCTGCATATGCTAATCTGGTGATACCTCGAATAGGCATCTAGAAAATATAGCTATACACAATCAGAGGTTGAATCTACAACTTGATTAATCCTTGGAAAGGGATGTTCATCCTTGTGGCATGCTTTATTCGAGTCGGTGTTGTGCACATGTATCCACCATGTTCCATTGGGCTTCCTTACCATGACGGTACTAGTTGACCACTGTTGGTATTTCTTAACGCATACATAAATAATCCGCAAGCACATGGAATTACTGTTGTAGCATTTCACCAGGATATATTCAGGGTATCGTATTTTCCACAGGGAACGGAGGTATTTTTCTAGCTAGTTCGTCCAAGGATAACACAAGGGTAGAGTTGGTAAAGGTTGAGATGGATTCCTATGGTTATAGGGTCTATGAATAGATAAACTCTACTCTTACTCGCTCACTTTGGGCACTGGAGAACACCTGGTCTGCCAAGCGTTGCCAGCCTATAGCTCTATGTTGTACCCGGACGTGGGGGATTACGAGGGACGGACAGGGCTGTCACCACCTGCCGCCTACCCCTCAACCGTGGAGTGCGAGGCAAACAAAGGTAGCCTCTAGCCTAGACACCACGTCTACGCTATTGTTACTACTCTAGTGTGTATACAAGGGTTATCTGTCTCTATCAAGGCCCTTCTACTAGAGCATTCACCGCAAGGGCGAACGATGATCCCACAAACAAGTATGAGTAAAGATTAACTAATCAAAAGACTTGTAGCCAAAAGAATCACGAACACTCACTTAGCAGAAGAACCCATTGAAGTAAAGATGCTCATCGAGGTACAAGTTGGGGAGATACCGACAAGTCCGGCACTTTCCCGAGCTCTCCCTCACATCTCTCCCTTACTACTCTACTAGCTATCTAGGGCATGAGCCCTTGGAGTGAAGCTCAAAGGTGGAGTGCTCTTTTTCCTTCTGTGTTGTGTCTTGTAGAGGGGGGTACCCCTCTATTTATACAGGGCTCAAGGCGATGCTTGGAGCTATTTTTGGCGTGAAGCATGAGCTGCACCACCTCTACATGGAAGCATGCCACCGCCAGAGAAAGGGGTGGCTGAGGAGCGCCGACAGGGGGTCGCCCGCCCCCTAGGGTCGGTCGCCCCTTGACCGTGCCGCCTCGCCACCGCCTTTGCGCGGCAGGCTCTGGGCAGGACTTGGATCAGTGCTCGGTGGTGCTTTGCCCAGTTTGAGTTGATTTGATGGGCGTCTCCCTTGTTTCTTTGCCCAAATCAGCGTCGGAAAGCGCCTTTTAGTGAAATCTTCCATGTATTTGTGTCTATGACCTACAAAATAATATTCTCCAAATACACGTGGAACTTGGTTAATAGCAAATGCATATGTGTTTTAAGTTTGCCAATTTCTCCTCTTTTTATGTCTTAATTGGTGGTCAGATTTGCTTGTTAAGGACCGCCAACAAGCTCCCCCACACTTACCCCTTTGCTTGTCCTCGAGCAAGGTTAGAGATAAAAGTAATCATGAGCTAAACATTCTAAGATATATGGCTTACATAAGAGTTATTCCAACACATTCCTTATACAAGTGGGATTTGCGGTGTTAGCTAACATGTTTTCTTGGGTTGTTGAAAAGTGGAACAGTTCTCGAAACAAAGTCATCTTCTCAATTTCACATCTTAGCAACTTGGAGTTTTGGAGGTTTTTCTCAAGAAAAAACATAGTTCACTTTATACTCCTCAATTGGTACTCTCAACTCACTCAATGGTGTATAAATCCTTACCAAGGCATAGCAATGTTTTGCCTTCTTTTGTTTTCTCCTACTTCTAAAGGTTTATGTGGAGCTTTAGGTAGGGATAAACAAAACAGCATACTTGTATTGCATATGTTGTAAAGTCAAATCAAAGATCCAAGGAGAGAAGTGCCACACTCTAGATCAAGATGTGCATGTGTGTGGAAAAAGGTAAGCTAAAACTATACTCCTTTTGTAGATATGATCTCTGTATAACTTATTATTTTGAAACATGGCTATCTTTCTTCTTTCTTTTTTTTAATACATGAGCCTTCACGTCCTCATCATTTTTTTCTACTTGGACCTTCATGTGTCCATATATTTTTTTTTCTCTTTTTGCATAGCCCATGTCTCTTCTTCTAAACCTCATATTTAGAGAGAGATCATTATCTTCTTAGAACATGGAGTATTTGTCTAACAAACTTTTTTTATCTACTCCCAGTGTAGCAGTAGAGTTTTTGGTGGATCTAAATGGAAGCATGTTTGTGCGTACTCCTAGTATAGGAGCAGCATGTGTATGTGGAGTGTACGTGATCTTGATCTTGGAAGTATGATAAATATCTCAATAAGGGTCAACAAGGCTTGACCAAACTCAATACAATAACAAGCAGTATATGTGGAAGGCTTGAAACTTTGCAAGATGTCAAATTTAGCTTTGGTAGGAATTACTCACCAAATGAGGAGTATGTGATACTATGGTTTTATAACATTTTTATCAAAACAAATTCTCCAAGTACTTTAAATAGAAATGGTAGGATTTCTAAGTCAAAACTATATCACACCTCACAACAACTTAGTCAACATGATTGTCCTATTAGAATATTTTCCCACAACCATAAGTGTATGTATATGGAACAAACTTTATGCAAGCTTCTATCTTAAACATGTTATGTACAGGTTACTTTTCAAAATTTTAAATGAAGTGTGGTTTGTTGAATTGTATAGGGGCATTGTTCATCAGGAGGAGATAGCAGGGGTAAATTGAGTTTAATTTCAGTGATTAAGATTTGTATTTGTTCAAACTCAAAATTGGAGGGAGTTGAGAGTTGTGTTGCACAAACCATTGTTGAAGGAGTTAAGGGGATCAGAGATGGCTTGGCTGAACTAGAAGTTTAGTCAATCCTCTCTGAAACTTTCTATCTTGTCCTTACTTTCTGTCTTGTCCTTCATGCATGATGGATCGTGGAGATCTCGAATGTGTGTTCATCATGCTTGAGAGATCTCCCACACACTTATTGTTGTACCTGCTTTTTATTTAACAAAGAAAAACAAAAATGGAAGCAAACAAGGGCTCTACCGGCCCGAACACTGAAGAGCCTAAAATTTATTCATTATTATTATTATTAAATTATTATTATTGTAACACCCTAAAATTTGCCTCCTTGAAAATAGAATTAAAATGATTTATTTATGAATTTTGAGCTCATGAAAATATAGGAAAATAAAAATTTTCATTGAATTAAAATTCATCATAAGGAGTAGCAACATGGATGTGCATACATGCCGGTGCATTTGATTTATTGCAATGAGTGGTTGAAACAAAAATTCAAAATGAATTCAAATCAC